TGATGGTGTTGAGTACTGGGAAAGAGGAAAAGGGTTGTGACTAATAAAAGGTTGAATGAGATGGGGATAAATAGGAGTAGGATGAGACTAGATTGATAAATGGAGAATGAGTCTAGGTGGAAGATGAACCAGCCAAATATGGGGAAATGAAGGGGAACAGGATGGGTTGAGGTGTTGGCTGTTTTCTTTGAAGAAAGAGAATTGAGCAAGGGAACATTCTTAATTGGAGAGTGGGTTTGTGGCTAGGAAGATGGATGGAAAGACTTGGTTGTGGGTACCAAGAGGAAAAAAAAGATCTGAGTGTTGATATCTTAAAACGGGGGTTCTAAACATGTGGGCATGTGCTGTTCAGTGGAAGCTTTGGGCACAAAACTGAAGTCCCAAAACACTGAACAGCCTGAGATTGGTATTCTTGGAAGAAAGGAGGCCTGGTGGTGTTTATAGGCATTAGCAGATACTCATGCAACCAAAATGGAGGTCTGTGTAGTATTGGGAAGAAATGAGGGTAAAAGCTACCATGGTCTCTTCTTTCACTTTCTGTTTTTGCTGGTCTCTCTTTTTAGCAAAATGATTAGAGATAGTTAATCCTGTTAAACTTCTAATCTTTACAATAAGAGCTCATTTTGGAAATCTGTATTTAAATCATAACAGAATGCTTTTCTGTGTGAAGGCACGTGAAAACTCAGCATAAAAAAGGAGCAGTAACAATTTCCTACACACTGTTAAAGGAAAACTGCTGTGGGTATAGATAGTTTCCCATCACATCATCCAATGTAAATATCCCAGGTCTTGTAATGTGTACAAAGAGGCTGAATGTGAAATGGTGCTGTGAGGCAGCCATGTTGCTTTACTGATGGAAATCAGAACTGTAACATTCCCTTTAAAAATGGTGGCAGAAATTATTAGAAAAATAGTGTTGGATTCTAGAGTAATGTTTTTTCTTTAGAGAGCCTTCCTGTTTTCAGTTGGTTTGACTAGCTTGATTGAGGAGCATAATTTTGTAGTTGATATCACTGTTCTGTTGAACTCAAGTCTACTGAGTTTGTCCCTTGCTTATTTGCTGACAATAAATACATCTTTTAACATGGCAACATGGCTGCTTTTGCTTGTTTTTGTCTACGTATTGTGGTAGCACCCAATGGCCTGAACATAGATAGCATTCACACAGTACTAGGTGCTGTGCAAACACGGTGACAGTAAAAACATAAAGGCTGAATAGACAGGGAGTAGAGTGGAAACCGGCATAGCACAGAGGTAAAGTTATTTGTCCAAAGTCAATTGGCAGGTCAGTGATTGAACTGAAATTATATCCACTAAAACTGTGTGCAACTTTTCTCATCCCTATAAGAGATTTGGTATTGGAAGGAGTGTAGGTTGCCTTGTCAGTATTTTTTATTTAAGGGAATTCTGTGTGCTCAGTGTTGCTGTTAATAACTTTTGTGTTATGTTATGTTATGTTATGTTATGTTATGTTGTAGAAACACCTTCAAACATACAAAGTTTGTCTAAAAAAGGATGCTTGCCTTTAGATTTCCCTAATAAGAAGCGGAAGAGAAGCAGATGGAACCAAGACACCATGGTGCCCTGAGCACCTGTTATCCCTCCTGGACTCACTCGTGAGCAAGAGAGAGCTTATATAGGTAAATACACGTTCTCCCCTTTTCCCATCTGATCTGCTGTCAGTGGTGATCCTATTTCTGGATTCTGAGTGATTTGAAAGTTAACCTTTTTTTTCTAGACTTCAGGTTATTATGGCCTTATTACATAACTTCAAATCAATAATTCTCACACATTTGCTCAGTCATGCACTGTTGCAGCTCCCCTCTCCTGCTTGTGACAGGAGTAATGTTCTCCACAGGCATGGTGAAAATGGAATGGCTAGAATAGTTTTTGTAGGTGTGATAGTCCTTTCTCTAGATATATTGGCCCTTATTCTGGAGGTGTACTTAATAATCTCATTACAGTTGGTGGGAGCCTCTAGAATTACCTCTCCAGTGGAGAACATTGCCTCCAAGTCCCTCTTCACACTGTAGTATGTGGGAAGCAGGTGCCTCCTTTCACAGCACAGCCGTACACCAGAAATGTCCCCACCCCAACCTAGTCTCTGACTTACTTTTAGGGTGCTTAATTTAAAAAAATAACCTTCCTAGAAGTTCAGTTTTGCATTCAAGGTGGTATTGATCACATTGGTTTTGCTGTCAGGGAAATTAAGAAACTTTTTTTCTGTGTGGCAAGAAATCTAAACTTTCAGCATCTCTTCTAGTTAGAGCTCTGCTTAATGAACTCTGTATTCACATGCACACAAACTGCTGAGCAAGGGATATGGCTTAGTTATGTGGGTATGAAGGGATTTGAAATATTAGTTGTGAAAATGGGGAATTTCAAAGGTTAAGATTGGTCTTTGGGACTACACCATACCAGTATGGGAATAAGAATGTTTTAATTAACTTGATTTATAAATACAGGGTTTTAACATTAACTTTGCCTTCAATTGCAAACAGTGATGCTAAATTCACTTTTCATGAACTGATAAGCCAGGA